TGCCCAAGAAGCCCAATCCTGTGACCTTTGCGGACTTTAGACCCATCAGTTTGTGTAATTACTGCAAGAAGATCATCACGAAGATTATGGTGGTTCGCTTGGCTTCTGTGCTTCCTCGGTTGCTCTCCCCACATCAGAGTGGGTTTGTGGCGGGGCGTTCTATCACTGATAATATTCTTTTGGCCCAGGAGATGTGTCACGGGATGCGGGTGGATAATGAAGATGTCATTCTGAAGCTGGATATGATGAAGGCCTATGATCGGGTCTCTTGGTATTTTTTGATGTCAGTGCTGCGCAGATTTGGATTTTCAGAGAATTGGATCGATCTGGTCTATCGGGCCATCTCGAATATATGGTACTCCGTCATTATTAATGGGATTCGAGAGGGTTTTTTTCATTCGACGAGGGGCCTGCAGCAGGAGGACCCACTCTCTCCGTCCTTGTTCATCCTTTCAGCGAAGGTCCTTTCTCGCTCTTTGGCTCGACTGTATGCAGATCCTATAGTTGCTCGTTTTACACAGCCCCGTGATGCACCACATATCCATCATCTTGCCTACGCCGACGACATTTTCATCTTCACTTCGTCGAGGGGGGACACTTTAGAGAGAGTTCAAGCAGTTTTACGTTCCTATGAGCAGATTTCAGGCCAAGCTGTCAGCCTCCCTAAGAGTGCCTTCTATATGCACCCTAAGGCATTGGCACCCGTGTTGGAGCGTGTTCGAGATACCCTTGGGTGTTCATTGGATGTGCTTCCATTCACTTATCTTGGATGTCCTATTTATCATGGTCGGAAGCGCATTCATTACTTTGAGCCTATTCTCAAAAAGATGCGGGACAAGTGTTGTGCGTGGATGGGGCGCTATCTTTCTCCGGGGGGGAAGGCTATTATGATTAAGAGTGTTCTGCAGGCGATCCCGACACACTTGCTCGCTGCACACTTTCCTCCCAAGGCAGTGATTCGAGAGATGGAGTCTATCATGGCACGATTTTTTTGGTCTAGCCTGGGAGGGACTCGACGCTACCATTGGGGATCTTGGAAGACTCTGGCACGACATACGAGGGAAGGTGGGGTCGGCTTCCTTGATTTTATGACTTTGGCTAAGTCTTGTTCGGCTAAGCTCCGGTGGAACTTTAGGACACAAGACACTATTTGGACGGCATTCATGAGGGCTAAGTACTGTAGTCGCGTCCATCCTGTGTCCAAGCAGCGTGTTAATGATGATTCGCACACATGGAAGCGCATGCTAGATGTTCGAGCCGTGGTTGAGCCTGTGATTCGATGGCGTGTACTCTCTGGCACGTCTAACTTCTGGTGGGATACATGGTCTGGACTGGGTGCCTTGCATCGC